TAAATTTATGTGCTTTTCTTGCCACTTCCCTCCCTCTTAAATATGGCCAGAAGCCTGGATCTTCCTACCACGTCTGCATCTTTTGCTTTCCCTTCCTGCAGTGTCTAGCACTTATTTCACAGACTGCAGCTTCTAATTGCATGTTAATGTGCTCTGTCCTTCCCATCACTGGTGTGCCCTCATTTCTACACTGCCATGTCTGTCCTGCAGTCTACAGTTTTTGTTCAGTTTTCACATATGGCTCTTTAACTCTCTGCAAACCACCCCTGTTAGAGGACATTGTTTTGCCCTCATAGTACAGTATTGCAAAATTAGACGAAGCACATACATTTTCCTATCTTTATTGTTGGTTTTGTCTTGGTATATTTACTGAGTAAAGATCAAATGGGATCTTGTTATTTGTGTTCTTATATAAAACACATCTTCTCTCAGAAGAGTTCAACTGCTCAGCTTCAAAAATGCTGTAATGTACCAGGCTGTGTAAACATGAAGGTCAAGACCAGAGCCATAAAAGTTGTTTACTGACCCTTTCAGGTACCTTGCAGTAGTGAGAGATTACTGGATGCTGAACTTTCTGGTATATTTCAGTTGACTGCATTGGATATGTAAACTCGTTCTAAAAACTAAGGAGAAAAATTGGTTACTTTCATCTGGAACTAAGTTGGCCTTTGATTGTTTAGAGTAGTCCATGGAAGAGCAGTATTAAAACCTACTTGTGTGAAAGGAAGTGATGAAAATAGTTATAACAGTATATTGGGAAGTCTTAGGTCTGATGTGAACCCCTCCTTGAGGAAGAGGGAAGAAATGGAACTCCATTACACTTCAATTTCACCATACAATTTATTTATTTCAAGAATTTGGTGAGTGACAGAGTAATAGCTGCAGACTGTCGATCTCAATTGCCAAGGTTTTGCAGTACTTCTGAAGGATATTACTGTAGGACAAGGGAGTGCAGAAGGCTTTTTGTGCCCCTGCATGTCTGCCTTGCCTACCTAAGCTGTTTAACAAATGGTAGGTGTAAAGAGAGTTTTAGTTTTGCAGCATGATTACTGTAGGTTTCTTGTGGCCAACGCTTCAGGGCAGTTTATTGGGATTAAAAAATGTTTTCATTCACTAGAATTAAGTAACTTGAAGAGCTTGGGTTTTCTGAGGTTTGATTTTATGAAATGCCATTAATTCAGTCATTCTTCTACTGTGGGACCCTTTGGAGTTACTAGTGAGTAGTTCTTTTACATTTATGTGCACGTAATAGCTAGCATTGTCTTCCAAAGGCAGTGTACACCCTTATGCTGTGTGTCTGTTCTTAATGCTCTCCAAGTCTGTGGAGTTCTTTGGACAAAGCAGGAAAAGCAGGTGAGGCTCCAGAGATCAGTTGTGTTTGTATGACTTTTTGGAAGGAGCCAGCTGTGCTTGGGAGAGATCCCATGAATGTGTCCTTTCTGGGGAAAAGGCTGACCAAAAGAGAACAAAAAGGTGAGCTGTATGCTTAGATGCCAGAGAGCTCATTGGGTCTCACTCCTCTCTTCTTTGGATATCTTACTTGTATAAAAAAACCCCTTCAAGTGGAACTCTGTCAGGCAATTTTGTGAGTTCACTTGTGTCTTACGCTTTTCCAGTGGCTCTTTCTGCTGCTTGTTTTCTCATGGTATCCTGTTAGACGATGTTTCTTTGGAGTTTTTATTTGCCTCTCTCAAAAATTTAGTACCAAATATGCAGAAAGGTATCAACATGACAGTAAGGTCAATCTTCAAGTTACGCTTCAACAGTAATTGTTATTTTACAGTTCTAACCACAGTTCTGAACTTTTCTGGAAAACTGAAAGATGAATTTTCAGTGGTTTATCTCTTAGGACTTGCTTTTCTAGAAGACCTTTCCACTTCTTTCCTTCCTTTTTTACATATATATATATAAAAATAATTTATCTTCTGTGAGGTGTCCAACTCAACGGTATATGTTCTTTTTCAGTTGTAATTGTACTTGTAGGACTTGTATGCAAAGCTCCTGCCAAAGTCAGTGCTGTCTTTCCTACATTTCGGGTAATTATTGATAAGCATCTGTGTTTGTTCAGTTTTGCTCTTTAGTCCCACTGTTAGGCTGCCTTAGCTTCCATTGCCTTCGGAGGTGCCTGACTTGATGCTGAAATAGGTGTGTGTGATGCCAGCTCACCTGCAGCAGCTTCAGTTGGTCAGTTGTACAGCAATGCCTGAGGAAGACAGGGTAACTTGCTTGTTGCTTTCCCACGTTATAGGCTTTGTAGATTTGTATTTGAGTATGTTCTGTAGATGTTTTGTTCTATTACTTTGCTTTGTTTGAGGCCAGACTGCAGAAATACTTTGCTTCTAAATAAATTTATAGTAGTGGCGGGTGGATAGGAGGGTTGATATTTGTAACAAATACTGATTTAAAGAGATAATCAGGCCAATTAAAGCAGATCTAATATTTACGAAGCGTCTATTTGAAACAACTCTATTGTTTTTCATCAGCCACAGCTGTTGTAACTGTTATCTCTGTGGAGGCAGATCTCTTGTTATGTAGGTCACATCAAGGAAAAATAGCAGCTGAACACTTGCTTCAAGTATTGTAGGGGAAAGTGCAATGAAAACATTGTATATGTTCACATCGACATGTTTTGAAACAGCAAAAGGAATTGTGTAGTACTTTGGCAATTTATATTAAGGTATGTTGTGAAGGTGGAAGAGTGAGTAAAAACATACCCAAACGTCTTTGCCCCATCTAAATATAAGTAATTTGAAAACAGAATTCCTTGGAGGAATTCTTAAATCAGAGGAAAAGAGAATGCTTAGTACTTAGTATAAGGCTTTGTGCCTTGAGATGAGCAGCTTCCCTCAAACTTAAATAGTAAACAGGCTCTTCAGTTTTCATTCTCTCTGTTCAACAAAACAGTCTTTCCAATTTTTTTTTCTTGTTGTGGTGGAGAGAAGAGGTTACTGGATTCTTCTGCTTCAGTTTTGAAGCTGTCTGCTGCAGTGGCTTTGCAGATGGTGTGACTGACTACATACACTTCCTGATTAATAATTTTTTTCCACATCCTTTCTGTTTCCCCTTGGTAAAAAGAGAGAAGCTTCTTGAAGGAGAAGAATAATAACTCAGAAGAAAAATAAACAGAGGGAGTATGGCAGCTAATTCTGAGACAAATATTTAATATAACTTTGGAAGCAATTGCAATTTTTAAGGAATGACACATTGCATTAGCATGCCACGTTGTCCCATAGTACAGACAAAAGGAATTGTTTTGAAATCTTCTGATACAAAGTGTGCTGTGTGCTGGTAGTAGTAGTCAGAGAATTTCTTTGATGCAGGGGTCTTAAGTGCAAACTCCAAAACAGATTTGCTGCTATACCCTGAGAGCAAATCTGCTGTGAGCTCAGTAGTAAGGTTTTATCATTGTTTGTATTAGTAGAAATAATAAAACAGATGAGGCTTCCTGACTGCTTTCTGCAAATGTGGCTGATTATAATGCTAATAATTATTTCCCCATAGTGCTACTAATTATTTCCTTATAGTTGAAATATTTTCCACATTTTTCATGTGTACCTTTCTAAGGTGAAATTTGCATGAGGATATTTGGTGTAGAATGTCCCTAGACTTAGATGATGTCCACACTACTCAAGTCTGTACCTAACAGGTTTTATTCTTATTTATCATGTATATTTTTAATAGGTTGAAACAGCTTAGAAATTGAACTCTGGACTTCTGATTTGACTGGTTTTATTTTCTGACTAGCAGTCGGGGGCTAATCAGGCTCAACTTCTTTTGCCCTTAAATGCATTTCTGTATAATACAAATTGCTTTGTTATTGATACTTTTAGTGCAGAATCATCCTAAGGCATAGTCAAGGAGGAGGACATATGACTGAGTTTTTCCAGTGTGCTTTTGAAGCTTCCATCTGATCTCTGAATCATGCTTGCTGTGCCCTAGTCATGTATTTTAGGCCCTTGTATTCGTTATCAGCAAAATCAATACACAGTTCTTTCAAGTATAATTCTGTGAGGGGCAGATGAGTTGATAGTAAGCTTAGGTCATTGTGATCTCTGGATTTGCATTTTACATCTCAAAATGTGTGACTGTGTATGTATATCTAAACCCTGGGCCTTTCCTGCTTGTCGGTCTCATAAATTTAACCACCTCAATTACTGTTTTGAGGAGCCTTTCTTCAGTGTTTGTTCTTAGTAGCTTGCAGTGTAGTCTTTCGCTGCCACTTTACTTAAGATTTCACTGACAGATGGGATACATACAAATTTTTAACCATACTCTCCCTTCTCACGTTACTTCCTGTGCTTATATTTAACCTTTTTTAGTAAGAATTCCTGTTTCTATCTAAACTGCTCAGAGAAGGGATACCAACGTAAACTCTGAAAGGAAGGTATTGCAGGAGATATATCATCAGGCGAATATGAATGTAGTTGCCAAGTAGCATTTAAAGGGAGAAGATGTCCTGATTGGCTTGTGAAATGTAAATCATTACCTTATCAAACTTGATTTCTAAGGGTTGAACCATATCTCATGTACTGGGTGGTTAATAAAACATGGCAGTTTATAGTGTCCCTTGAAGTAAAGTAGGTGAAGGGTAAAGGGCTTAGTTGGGTGAACTCTAAACTCGACATTAAACTGAAAAAGTTCAACACAATTTTTCTTTATTAACCTTTATGTATGAGGAAACATAGCTATTTTTTTCTTCCATGCCTTCAGCATATAAGAATCCAATGACTATTACACCTTTAAGGGAGTAAATGGTGGTGTGTGAGTACCAATGTAACATTTGTGGCATAAGGATGTTTTTAAGGAAACCATAAAAACAGATTTCATAGCTTATTCGAGCTGAATAGAGCCTGGAAAAGCAAACTTAATTTCCATATTACCTATTTTGTATACTTATTAACATGGTAGTTTCAGATTGATATGGTTTCTTGTAGACTATTAAAATGAACAAGCTCTCTGTCTTGCTTTCTTTGTAATCAAGTGTTCTTTTTCTAGGTGACAAATCAAGGCCACCTTCGTCAAGCCCTTCCAGTATTGTTCGCCGGACTTCCTCACTGGATACACTTGCTGCTCCATACCTTGCTGGACAGTGGCCTCGTGATAACCACGGACAAGCTGCTCCATGTATGAGAGACAAAGCTACACAGGTAGGACAGACTTTTGTCTCGGGAGTATTTAAATGTGAAGACAGGATTTAAACGTAAGAAGCTTTTCCCTTGAAAACATGCACTTCAGCTTTCTTGCTCACAAGTTCCTATTCACTTTCAAATTGCAGGAATACTACCTTTGCTATTGTGTGTGTTGTTTGCATTCTTCTCTAAGAAAAGGCTGTGAATGGTAATATCTTTTAAGAGTTCTATTTTTTTCTTGCCTCGGAAAAACACCGGTGCATTGCCTGTCTGTATTCTCATTCTTTTTATGGTGTGCAGTACACTAGATTGCACTGGCATTAAGTACAATTTAGTTTAAATTTATGCAGAGAACTTAGTGACTCCTTATATGTATGTCTGTTTTAAAACGGAATAAAAAAGTTTCTGTAGTGCCTGTATAAAAGCTATTGTAGCATTTTCTATGATTATCTCTTCATCTTCTGATTGTAAAAGGCCCTTAATGTTCACCTGGGTTCTGTGCACCAAGTACAGAATTATATACATTGAAGAATTGCCTCATTGAACCATGGATGATGTTGAAGTTTAGCTCAACTGGAAAGTCCTTGAAAACTAAATGATTTGCCAATAAAGGTCAATAGCTTAACGAAATTTCACAAGCTTTTAAAGGTTCAGTCCTATGCCATCTCTAAAAGCAGAACCAACAAAGGAATGAAACTGGTGTTGCACGACAGATGTTTTAGCATTCCTGTTGAAGGGAGCTGTTGTTAGGTGGTATCTTACTGTATGCAGAAGTGGTTCAACATGGGTTGCTCCATAAAATATCCCAGTGTTTCATTTCTCCTGTGGATGCAGTCTGGCAGTGTGTTTCTCTAACTTGTAGAGTGAAAGAGGCAGACATCAGATTTTTAAATCCTGTTCCTGGAACAGAACAACAGGTCTCCACTAATTCAGAGCACATAAGCAAAATGCAGTTGGAGGAGGACCTGGTGGCATGTGGGACATACTTGTGTTTGAACCCATGTTGGGCTTGGTCACAGCAACAAAAATGTTAGGCCACATAGGTTTCAGTATGCTGACTCAGCAAATGTGTAGGGTGTAGAGTGCTGAGTTCCTGTGTGTCTTGAGATCCACAGCGTGTTGTGGAAAGGACCATAATTCAAAGAGCAGATCAGGAGAGAAGGAAGGTGTTCTGTAGGGGAATATGGCCCTGTGGAAAAGATGGAAGTAGGAACAGGTGAAGACAGGACAGCTGAGGAACAAGTTTTCTGTGCAGGAAAAGGAATTGGAAAATGGTTAGAAGATGGGGTGAAAAAGGTAAGCAAATCATAGTAAGAGGATGAAGGAAGGTATATGATACACAGTGAATTGCTGTTCATGCTTAGCTATTAAAAGCATCCTTAAAGGGCAGAACTAAACCCGTATACGTGCCTTTGCAATTAATTTTTGTATTTGATTTCTTAGGATAATACTTTTTTCAAAATAATTGTATTTCTATACTGGTGCCAAAGTATTTCCTATATTCAATTGATCTCTTCCAGCTTAGTTTCAATATAATCTGAGTCATGGTTGAGCTTTTATAATCTATATACAACTTCTCTATAAAACAAGACTGAAGTGTGTACATGAAGAATGCTTGTTGGGTGATGAATAAACATGTTACTAGGCGTCCTAGGGTCTGGCTAGAATTCATACCTGCACATATTGTTTTAAATGCTCCTAAAACCAGTGTTGGTAGTCTTGTCTTTTTTCCTTTGAATGAAACCTGTTTGGCTTTGCATGTTGCTGTTTTAAATGTAGCTGTATCAAAGTACAAGTTAAGACAAATATTTTGTTGGGTTTTTCTAATTCTTAAATAATATTTCATTCCAACTATAAAGTTTTTGTCTCTTAAGTCTTTTTTTTTTCTTAAGTGTTCTGGTATCTGTAATAAATTTAGCCTTAAACTAATTTCCCTTTGTCATTCAAGAACGGGGGGAGGATGTTGTGAATGGTAGTAAGTAATAAGTGAGTAGTAGTACTTTAAGAACCAAGAGAAATACAAACCCCACCTTGCCTATTGGTTTTTTGGTTTGTGTATCTTGATAAGTATTAGAAACAATACATGGGGAATAAATAGGAGGAGACTTGCTAAAGCAGTATTACATTTGTCTCGAGGTACAGGTTTCCTATAATTTAATGTCTCATAGCTATTCCCACTCTGAAAATATTTCTAACTGTTTGTTTTGAGGATGAGCATCAAAGTAACCTTTAATCTTTTAAATGAATCAGATATTAATTTATTAAATAAGCCTTGAATCTTGAGTCAAAGTCTTGAATATAAATTAAAGGCAAAGACTGATTAGAGTGTTAATTAGATTCCTGTAGGCAAGTGTAATGGTTGTGCTGAGTTGAGAAGCTAGAATTAGGGGCCAAACCTTACTGTTCCAGGAGCTGGAGGACAGGATGAGACTCCTGACTGACATTTGAGAATTGACTAGACAAAGATTTGGTGCTTGGGAACAGGGGTTATCGACTAATCTGTTTTATGATGAAGATCAGTGGGTGCTTTTCTGGAAAAACAGATTGTAGTGGATTCTGATTTTGCTATGAAATAGGAATTTCAAAGCAACCCTGCTAACTTTATTATTCAGATTTGTTCTAGTTAGTTTTTGATTTGGAATGGTGAAGATCAGTGATAGTGGAGGTTTCATTTATATGAAACTTCTGTTTGTAACTGAAGCTAGTGAGGGTTACATCCTGTGTATTTGAAGTTACACTTCCATATTCCCTGCGAAATTGGGGATTAATACCACATTATTGAAGGCCCCGTGGGTTTCTCTGATCTGATTGCAGATGTGGTAAGTCAGGAAAGCTTGTGGCTTCTGCAAGCTCTTAGTCTCACGTGCAAGAGCAACTGTTGCATACTGAAGATGTGAAGACTTTAAGGCAAACAAAATTCCTATTTATAGGAGAAAGTGACTCTTAAAAGCGAGGTTAGCTACATCACTGCTCTATGCTAAGAAGTGTACTGTGGCAACAGTGAATTTCAAGGAATTTGCTGTCTTCTTCAGTGTGTATGTTGCTTCCAGAAATCCTTCCCTTTGCTTCGTTGGGTATATTTCTTGTGACTGCAGGGAGGTTCCTGATATATGTTACTATCCCTCTCCTTAGAGCCTTTACAGTTCACTGCTTTTGAAGGCCATTCTGGATGTGGTTAAGTGGGAATACAAACTGTCCATAAAGTGTGCAGTGTTATCACTGGCTTTCCTGTGTGTTGTCTTACCTTAAATACAGGTTGTCGTAATGATACTTTGAATTTCTCAGAACTCTTTCAGAGCATATGTTTACAAGTTTTTCTTCTATTAAACGCTAGTGTCTCTGTTGGTTCAGTGAAACCAGGTTAGTATTATCTGTGCTACTTTCTGCTTGGCCTGGGACAGCTATGAACCCAGAGCCCTTTGAGGCATTAACAAATTCCCTGCTTTGCAATAGCTCTCATGGTCCTTATACGCTTTGCATTCCTTTTTCTCATTCTTGTGAGCAATAACATGATTGTGAAGCTGTACTGGTGCAGCCTTTCATGACATTTGTACCAAGCTACCCTTGCCAATACATCAGAAATAACAAGGTCAGCGTCTGTGCAGGAAATAAAATGTAGCATCTCCTCCCAGCTCAGCACTGTCATACTGGTTCTTCAGAGCTCTGGAGCAGCTTTTGGTACATCTGGCTGCAAATACTGCCTCTTGCTCAATAATTTGGAAGGGAAACTAGCACATTCCTGTGTTAGAGTAGGTTTGAAAGTTGGTTTGGGGTTTTTTTCTTTTAATTTACATAGTTTCAGTCTACTTTCTCATACTTTACCTGTCAGAGAGGATTCTAGTTGGTGACTCCTGTTCGCTTTCAGTTCTGAATCTAGCAAATATTAAGTGTTCTCTTTTCTAATTTGTCTCAAAATACTCTGCCAGAATGTAGCAATTACCTTTTTTAATTAATCCTCTAATCTTCTTACTGCAGACAGAAAGTGCCTGGGCTGAAGAATATTTAGAAAAGAAGAGAAGCTCACACAAACGTTCATCATCCTGGGGCAGCAATGAACAACTCAAGGAGGTCAGAAATGCTATTGTTTGAGATACCTTTGGATTACATTTTTTACTGGTATGCACTGATACTGTGATTTTGCAGGAAGGCAGGTGTTCTGTACTGCTTGTTTTATTGTACAGTTGATGGACTTGGTAAAAAGTAAGAAATATCTGTTCATTAAGTACTAATTTAATATAATTCTATTTATTCTATAATTATAATAGAATTCTATCATTCTATTCTAATAAGGTCTATTAACATTTTTAATCTGAATGTGTGTGGGAAAGAAAGTGTTGAATGCGGGTGACATTCTGCATCAAAGAAGAAAATACAGCAGTGACCAGGCTACTTTTAAACTTTATATATTTCAAATTCTTTCGTTAAATCTCCAGAGGTATCTTCTGGACTTCAGCTGAACTGGTAGCTAACATGTTTGGTTTGCAGGAACTTGAGTCAAATTTAGTGCTGGCAATTGTGAATGTTATAGTAGCAAATAATTTTTACTAAGTGGTGGAATAGATTGGTGAAACTACATGTGTGCCTGAATACATTTGTTGACATCTACTGTGAATTTCCTTTGTTAGATTGCAAAATTACGTCAACAGCTGCAGAGAAGCAAACACAGCAGTAGGCATCACCGCGATAAAGAAAGGCAGTCTCCATTTCATGGTAACCATGCTGCCATTAACCACAGTCAGGTAAGGCTCTGTGCTTTCTTGGCCATACTGGGGAGCTAATACTATTTGTAATTCTTTTCAAGGTTGTGATTTGTCTTAACTTAGAAATCCCATGTACTGCTAAATATGTTGTGGCTATAGGTGACTTTCATGAAATAGATCTGGTTTTTTTGACTACCGTGAATGGGCTCCTGGTTCTTGCTGTTGCTTGGATGGGCTGGCTTTGAACTCTTCACACTTTCAAATAATTTCAGGTAGTTAAATTCTTCCTTAAAGCAAGACTCTGAAAGTGCATTCTGCATAAAAGGATGACAGGTAAGTGTAATCTAAAACCATAGATCATCTTTTTCATTACTCTTTGCTGTAACAATTATGACTTTGTATGTAGAATATGCCATGGAGCAAACTGGTGGTAAAATTATATACTCAGATAAAGTGTGGTTTTTTGGGTTTTGACAAACACTTGTCAAATCCTGTGACGAGATTTAGAGTGCTTACCTGACAAAAGCTATTCAAGGGGATTATTTATTTGTGTTTATGTTCTTCATGACTTCATATAGCCTCAGTAATATTCTATTTCTTTTTCCTGTCATTCATCATGCCTTGAGACTTGAAGGAGTAATCTCTTAAAAAATTGTGATGGTTAGACCACCAAGTGTTCTGTGTGCAGTTTTAGTTTTATCTTTGGACTTTTAACGAGGTCAGGTTGACAAAGATGTGATATTTTTAGGTTGATTGATAACAGGTGAAAAAAATTACAGGGTTTTAGACACACTGATCCTTTTACAAGTGTGTTTTGCCTGAGTAGCATTTAAGAAGACCACTAGGAAAGTTAGGTAATTTT